CAGCTCAAAGGGAGAAACAGGTGTATGCTGACTTGAAACATGTAAAAAAAAAAAAAAAAAAAAAATTAGTGCCACTCAACACTCACAACGAGTTGCTATATTTTAGCCAATAGGTCCTACAACAGCTATGCCAAGATTTATTTTTTATTCATAAATCATTCAATAACCAGGCCATATCTGGGGATTCCAGAAAATCATCATACAATCAACATGTACATTAAACCCCATCTATTGAATGTAAAAAAAAAAAGAAAAGAAAACCACCATTGGGCCCACTTGTTACGCTTTCAGCAGCTTTATTTATATGAAATTTCAAAACTTGGAATATTTGTTTTTCAAATGTATATATCCCCAATTCAAACTCCAACCGTGACCCCAACCCTAAAATCAACACTAACCCAAACTCCAAACCTAGCCCCCAACCTTAATCCCAACCCCAACACTAACCTCAACCCTAACCCCAACCCTAACCCCAACTTTAACCCCAAACCCAACCATAAACCAAACACTAGCTCCAACCCTACCCCCAAACCTAACCCAAACCCTAACCCCAACCCTAACCCAAACCCTAACCCCTACCTTAACCCCAACCCTAACCCCTACCTTAACCCAACCTTAATACCAACCCTAACCCCTACCTTAACCCAACCCTAATCCCAACCCTAATCCCAACCCTAACCCTGACCCCAAACTTAGCCCCAACCCTTACCCCAAACATAGCCCCAACCCTTACCCCAACGTTAACCCCAAACCTAAACCCACCTTTAACACCAACCCTAACCCCAACCGTTGCTCCCAACTTTAACCCAAAGCCCAGCTCTAACCCAAACCCTAACCACGGCCCTAATCCCAACCTAACCCTAAACCTAACCCCAACCCTAACCCTAACTCCAACTTGACCGCAACCATAACCCTAACCCCTACCTCAGCTTAACACCAACCGTAACCCCACCTTTACTCCCAACTCTTGCCCCAACCTATTTCCTAACCCCAACCCTAACCCCAACCCCGTCCCTAATTCCAACCCTAAGACCATTCCTGTCTCCGTGATTTACAAGCATTTAAAAGAAAAATATCTCAAAATGGATCTGCTGTAACGTTCTTTGAAACCGAAAGCTGTGGACTGACAGAACTAACACGTTTCTATTTCCTTCGCCAACCCCCCTCCCCCCATCCCACACACACGCACACGCCCGGTAATGGCAGGCGTGTATGGGTAATGAACAACTTCCTCTGGGAACAGGATACGTCTCAGCAACTTCAGCACAGGACGCCTAGACTAGGCGGACATGTTTCAATTTTATTAACAACCCTGTATCAATTCCCTGGCCGAAAAGGGGTCGGACCACCCCCCCCCCCCCCAAAAAAAAAAAAAAAAAAAAAAAACAAAAAAAAACCCCCCAAAAAAAAAAAAAAAAAAAAAACTACAAAAAAAAAACCACAAAAAAACCTGGAGATTTTTAAAGTATCGATACGAAATTTAAAATATTCGATCCCGAAGATGCAACACGATCATTGATTCCCTGTGGTGCGTTGGCCAGGAGTCAGTGTCTCGATCAAATTTTTGTTTTGCAATTATTTGGAATCACTCATATCTAGTTTATTCTACATTCTCTTTTGTCTTGATTTGTAAAAATCTATAATTAACTTTAACATTAACTGAGTTTATGTCTATATACTTTACTGTCCCATTGGCTAACTTCGCTGATCTTTATCCCATTTACACTTAGGAAAACACCAAACAAATAACAGTCTTTATTTAGATTGGAGAGATTGTAAACCAGCCTCGATTTGGGAAAAAATACCTTCCGCAACTCATTTGTAAAGCCCGAAAACTTATGAATTTATTGATATTTATTTATTTATGCATATAACTTATAACAATTTTTTTTTCCTTTATGTTTAAAGAGCATACTTTGAACAAAAAAATTAATAAAATTTTCATTTCATCTCAAGAAATTAATTCATTCCATTGATGTGTTGAGAAAGTTTCATTTGAGAGTATAAGTGGACGTCAAGCACAAAATTAAAGACCTTCTTGCTCGAAATAATCAGGATGGAAGTGTGTGGCCATTTTGAATAATCATCAACGCTTTATGGGAAATTTTTAAATGTAAAACTTACCCAACTTATATTTATATAATAATATATGCGTTTAAAATAGGGATGTTAATAAAAAATTCTTTTTTTTTTTCCTTTTGGCACACAGGTTATTGATGTTTTACAATGCAAGCCCAAATGTTCAACACCACACGGTCGTATTGAAATATGTTACAAGACCAAAGGCAGTAGATTAAATATTTAAAAATAATAATAATAAAAAAACAACAATTACAAACCATAGCAGCGTCCCTAATTTTTCTAATGTTTGGTGCAAGGACTCGCCCTGTTTTCTTAGTCAGTAGTCAAACAAAATTTGTATTCATTAATTCACTGATTTAATTATATTATATTATATTATATATATATATATATATATATATATATATATATATATATAAATATGTGTGTGTATGGAAAAAATCGATTACACTTGTTGGTAAAAAATCATCAAACGTTTATCGTATAACATACTTAATTTAAAGTAATTTCTATAGTTCTTAAATCATTGACGAAACACGTAAATTAGATTTACAATTTTAAAATTTATAAAAAGGTCTGCATGCCTGCGAGACAAAGTTTTTTTTTAAAAAGCTACACATTTTAAAGATCTTTTATCCTCAAAGTGTTTTATATACAAAAAAACAGCCTTAGTTTGATTAGGGCCATAATAATGATAAACAGATAAAAGGCCATGGTCAGTCCCGTAAGCCTTACATCATTCAAACAAACTAAATTGATTGGGATTTTAATGCATGAATTTTAAAGCTTTGGACATATTTTAATCAAGTGAATTTTACCAAAACAGCTTTGAAGTTGTCTTTTTTTCCTTCTTCTCCAAAGTATAGTGCTAGAGTTGAACGCTTTCAGAGTCCTCGTTATTTTGACCGCAGTATATCACCTTTGAGTCGCTGTTAAGAGACTGCGCTTTGACACTTTTCTCAGAGAGTCTGTGGGACGCTCTAGACGGGATCGGTTGAGTTTCTATAGGCCCCATATAAACACCAGATGAAAGGCGTACGTCCTCCAGCGTAGGACCCATGTACACACCAGAATCCATTTTCCGCTCCGTTAAATTAGGCCCATTTTGGTCACCGGGAATCAGTGTTTTATCATGTTCTTTGGCGGCAGCTATTTTAACGGGCTCGGGCCCGGTGGGCCCCATATATACACCTGAACTCATTCTCGGATCTAGAGACGTCGGCCCTGTATGGACCCCTGACGTCGGCCCAACATCCCCCGTCATGGGGCCCATGTAAACACCGGACGTCAATCTCATCTCGTTTATTTTCTTCTCCTTTTCGTCCGCGCTTTCGACAAAACTCCGATCGTTCTTGTTGTTGGCCCACGTCGTCGTCTTTTTGGCTTTGCTGAATCCGTTCGACGAGACCTTGACCCTGGGCGAATGCTCCTCATCCGCCCCGCCCCCAGCTTCGACGTCCAGCTCCCGGCAGCTCGACTTCCGGCGGTCGCGCTTGTCCGAGCCGTTTCTGTTCTGCCGCGTCGAGCAGCGGACGCTCTTGGTCTTGATGCTCGTCGTGCCGTCGCGGCTGATCTGCCGGCACGAGCCGCCCCTCATCTTCACGTAGCGCCGCCCGAAGAACACCCGCATGAACGTGTTCCTGAAGATGGCGCTGAGCGAGCAGTAGAGGATGAAGTTCACCGCCGAGTTCAGGGTCACCAGGCTGTCGGTGATCTCACGGATCCCTTTGAACATGTAGTCCTCCTCCACGTACCCCTTGCCGAAAAACGTGGACATGATGGCATCCGGGGTCAGGCACAAGATGAATATGAGGACCATCGCGATGAGCATCAGCGTGATCCGGTTCCGGGAGCTGAGCTTCTTGCCCTTGACCCTCTCCCGCCGCAGGACGTTGATGATCTTGGCGTTGATGAAGATCAGAATGAACACCGGGATGATGCCGCGCAGCAGGTTCTGGACCCAGGTGTACGGGATCATGAAATGCTGGTTCCGGCCGAGCTCGGTGACGACCACCTCCATGCAGGTTTTATTGTTCTTGACGTCGACGATCGTCTCCAGGCGGTATCGGAACACCGACGGTATGGACAGCAGGGTCATGATGACGAACACGGAAGTCACCACCGTCCTCGCCTTCGGTATCGTGCAGAGCGTTTTCGATTTGGACGGGTAGCAGACGGAGATGTATCGATCCACGGCCACGGACACCGTCAGCCAGGCGGTCACGCTGACGGCCACCTGCAATACAGGAAACGTAATATGAGTTAGTTTTTCACAGGGAGACGTGAGATACAAGAAACATATGAGTTAGTGGTACACAGGGAGACGATGAAATATTCACCGCTATGCAACGGGCCCTCGGGCTAAGAGCTCGCATCTCGTGTTAGACAAAAAAATTGTCGCAAGGGGGAAAAAAACCGCGAAAAAAAAAAAAATTGGAGTTTTGAAATTGGCTAACTCGCTATTTAAAACCAATTATAATAATAATATAATAATAATAATTGTGTCTGCCTAGCAAAAACCAAGAAGATAAAAAAAAGTTAGATTATTTTGAAGTTTACACGTGTTAGCTAAAGTTATTACTAGATCCGATTTTGTTTTCAAAGTAAATCTCCCAATTAAAGAGAGTTCACGAAATGTTTGTAATATACATCTCATTATTTTTGTGACTATTTCTTACATATTCATCAATAATTTTTTTTTTAAAAACGTACCCACAAAAAAAAAAAATGTACTACTGTGAATGCTGGGTGGCCGAGTTGTCAGAGCGGAGGCAACCCAAGCTTGATGTTTTTATAACGCGATCCCCACTTCAGACCAAGTCAAACAAAACAAACCATCGCCAGCACCCCGGGTGGAGGAGAACCCCTGTCTTTGGCTGGCAACTTATCTATGAGAAAGCTAGTCTGAATTAAAACCCTGTAGATGGAGTCCCGAAGGTGGATCACATTGGCACAATGAAACATTTCTACTAATCCGGCGCTGCTACTGGTTTTCCCTTGGGTTATCCAGGTGTGCGGAGAGAGGCGAATTGCTGTCTACGGAACCAGCTTATAACTCCTAAAGCAAAAAACAAAATCCCAAGATTAGTGATTTAGTCCTGCGAAGTCTAAACCATCGTCACATTGTGATGGACGAATACCAGAAAAAGAAAATACCACTATCAGTTAATTCACTCTTTTATTAACCTAAATTGTTTGAAGAACAGATTTTGTGGGACGAATTTAAAATCAAACACTGATTTAAAAAAAGGTATATTTTAAAACAATTAAACAAGTATTTCCTGGGGTATTTTATTTTAGAAAGGAGAAAAAAAAGCCTCATCAATCGTTACGTGCCTTCTTTCATTACTGAGTTGTATAATCTCTACTTCTTGATGTGAAATAATCGCTTTTTTATAGCTAGCAGTCCAAGAGAGATTGATAACTAAGAAATTTTTTTTTTAATCATTATAATTATGGATGGAGTCCGTTAGACGGTTCCTATTGACAAAACGAAATAGCTCTACAACTCCTGCGATGCCACTCTTGCCAAGCCAAGCTGTATCCAAAAATATACGGTGTTCCTTGGGTTACGCAGGTACGTGGAGAGAGGCGATTGGCTGTCTAGGGAACCAGCTTATAACTCATATTCTCTCTTCTTTTTTTTCTGTTTTAAAATTTCTCTTCGTTATATCATTAGATTTAATAACATTTCTGGAAGTGATGTTGCAAATACTTTGACCTGAATGTAATCAATCAAAATTTGTTATCGAAAAATAAAAGAGTTTTATTAAAACCCTCGTGAAAGACAAAATTGAACTTCGAATTACTCAACTGAAATAAAATTAAGATCATTTAATGGACTGTTAACCCCACGGGAGGTTAAAAGGGGGAGGGGCGCAATATTTAAGATTACATTTTGGTTAGTTAGTCTCTGAAATAAGAAATACTTTATTATTTCCATACAATAGAGTGGTTTGGATTTTTTGTTAGGGGGGGGGGGGAGTGTTCAATGTTAGTATTGAAACACTTTAAAGGTATACTTCAGGTATTGATTTTGCATTATCTGCAGTAACAACACAAAATACCCCACTTTTTTGTACGTTTTATAATAAAAGGTTATATATTGAAAAATAAAGAGGCCCCGAAATTGAATTTCTCTTTCTTGTAATGTATTTCCACAATGTTTTTTTTTTCTCCATATGTTTTTAAAAACAATCTAAATATTCTTTTTCATTTTGGAAAAAAAGTGTCTGGGGGTGGGGTTGGGGGGGATATGTGGATGACAAGATGAAACATCTTTAAGCGCTCAGGATGGGCGTTGAAAAAAAAACAACACCAGGCTGGAAAAGGTAATAAATCTTCAAATCTTAGATGACAAAGATCCTATCAATGTATTTACAATATTAAATTAAAGTTAATAAAACCATTAGTTAGCTTTTTTTAAAATATAAAGTATCAGTACCGGGTCATCATTATAAACCTATTTGTCGGGTCAGTTCGAACGTACCGCCAGTGCCGGTGTACTGTTCGCCTATTTCCAGACTGGCAGACGGATACCCTGACATTTCCCGGCATGACTTGATCTTGTGGTCGCACTTAAAGTCATCCAGACGGTCTACAAATGAATGGTCCCCGCCAAAGAAATGAGTCAGTGTCAGTGACAGTGTCAGTGTTAGATGGAGTTGTCTCAAAATACTCTCAAACCCCTGAAGGATGAAGCCACTCTTTTGATGAACGGTTTTAGATAATAAAAATTTTCACAAAGTTTTAATGATTAAAAAAAAAAAAAAAATGTAATTGAAAACCTAGATTTAAAAAAAAATATATATATTTTCTGAGTGGTTTTCAAGAGACCATTATTAAATCCTATAGGAGTCTTTCGAAAGTTATGTCACGCTCCGGGGGCAAGTGGGGGGGGGGGAGGGGAGTTCAAGAATTTATGACACTTTGTGACAGGGTGGGATGGTGTTTCAAAAATTTGTGTCGTTTCATTTTTTAAAATTTTTTTTGTATTATATTTTTTTATTTTTTAAAATCTAAAATCTAAAATTTTCTTATTTTGAAACAAAAAATCTTTATTAAATAAATTTTAAAAAAACATTAATTTGAGCTCGAAATTGCCTCAGGTATTATAGGTACCGTGAAACACGTCTTGCACATATCGAAAAATGACGCAAAATCTGTTTTGGCCATGTTACATTCGGCTTGTGGATGACTTAGGTTGTTTCGCGTCACAGTTTTCTAATAATACCTAATCATAATCCATCATGGGAAAATGTTAACTGAACAAAATCAAATCTTAGTTTAGTTATAAAAATGTTATGCAAGTTTTTATTTTTTAGGTGTGACGTGACACCGAAAAGGGGGGGGTGGTGAAGGGGGGTCTATAAAGGTCATTTTTTGCGTGATGTAATTAACCAACGACCCCATTATATTAATTTCACTTTTGTTCATGGGTGGCTGGCCTTGCTGTGTTGGTGGCAAAATCTGCGGGCGGCTAATTGACCCTTTTCCCGTCAATATATCGATCTGAAACTTGGTACACAGACTCGTTGCTGATGACAACACATTCTATCAAATTTTGAGTGCGTCACATGTATGTATAATTTGTCAAATTTTCAGCGCCCCCCCCTCCCTTTTGCAGGCTATTACATTTTAGAAATGATTTTTACGCAAAACTTTGTTTTTATGAGTTGTTTACTTTTCTCTATGGTGTGTGCTCAAAATCTTCATTCATATGTTTAGTACTGTGCTTAAGACAGTTTAATGGTCGGTAATGATTTTACAGGTGGTGCATTCTAACAGTGCTGATAATGCAGATATCTTTCTACTGTTTGAAAAATTCAGCTATTAACAGTAACACCCAAAGAAACGACGTGATTTTAAATACGCCCGGTAGCCATTGAAATGTAACAGATATCACGTGTTTCCTGAAATCGCTTGAAATTTACACAAAAGTTACTTTTAAATGATATTATAAAATATCTGTGATTTTCAAGGTGATGTTTATATATATATACTTTATTGTTGTGCCTCAAAGGCATTTTAATGGAGATGGCATTGGATCCGGAAATTTGTTTGAAAGAATTTTCTTCGATGGAAAATTGATCGACGGAAGTTTGATCGAACGGAAGATTGGTCGAAATATTTTTCCCATTCACACGATCTAATTTGCGTCAAATTTATGTTGGAACGCATTATTTTGTTTTACTGTATAGTATAGTATATATACATATATAAATATGTTAAGTTTTTTTTTTTTTTTTTTTTTGCTGGGATCCGTCCGACACAATGTGACGATGGTGAGGACTTCGCAGGACGACATCGACATGGCCTGGGATTATTCTTCTAGGATTATAAGCTGGTTCCCAAGAGCAAATCGCATCTCTCCACGCCGCTGTGTAAACCCCAAATGGAACATCTTGTGGATGATACAGCTTGGCACCAGTAGCATCGCAGGAGTTGTCGGAATGTTTCATTGTACCAATGTTATCCGCCTACTGGACTCCATCTCCGGGTTTGAATTCGGAGTTTCCCTCTCTCAGATGAGTTGCCGTCCGAGGTTAGCGGGTCCCATAACGGGGTGCTGATGATGTTTTTGCTTTATTGTGCTTTTGGCTGGAATTGAAATATAGACCACCAACTTGAGTATTGCCCAGTTTAGATCATTCGGCCACTCAGCCGAATGGCGCCAGCGAGCCGTCGAGCCTGAGCTCTTAATGCTCCTCTCCAAGGCATAACCTCATCGAGCTTGAAAATCCCACAAGGATCGCGCTGCAGAGCTTCACGTTCGCCTTGACCTAGGACAGACCCCCCGTCCCCCGCCCGTAATTTTACTCGATTGACCAGCTTTACAGTTGCCATCTCAGCCAAAGGACATCCCTTGGGTCGGTGATGTTTCTATCACAATATCAGCAGTCAACTTTACTAGGGGTCAGGATAGTGTATTTATGCCATAAAATCTCCCCCCCCCCCCACACTTGTTTCCCACCCATCCCATGGGTGACTTTCAATATGGTTTTCTACAGCGGGTTTCTACCTCGTCAATACTTCACGAAGTACCTGGGAGGAATCGGTTTCCTAGGAGCTGCCTCCTCAATGGCTGTGTGTATAGAATTATTTGCGTCAAAGGCGCCACCTTGATGTGTTGGTTTGAGAAAAGGAAGACCATAAACGTAACGGGTAAAAAATGTTTCAGCTCTTAAACACTTCAGTGCAGGCAATACAACGAACAGGGCCATTTTTGTTTTCTCTCAATGTTGT